TGTCTTCACTGATGTGTTAATTTAAAATGAGTTTGTCCCTCACATGACTCATCTCCAAGCCTAAAAATTTCTAGTTCCATTTCACTGCTCATTTACAAGCAAACTAGCTGTCAATGGAATAAAAAAGGTTCAGACTAGGAGCCAGCAAGCAGCTGATGCTCAAAGCCAGGCTGGGACTCACACACAGCTCCAGAGGCAGACCAGGGAGGACAGTAATCCTCAGCAGGTGGAGTGGAGAAAGCAGGTGAGAGAGAAACTGGAGGGAAATGGCTGTCAGGATCCACAGGACAACTTCTGTCCACATAATGCTTTACTTCATATGATATGAAACACAACAAACAAACATTTATTGGTGGTTGATTACAAATAAAATAGTGGAATTATAGGTTCCATAGGTTTATTTCTATATTAATCTTTGAAGTTATCCAGACCCTGGATTCCTTTGCTTTTTTATAACTAAGACTAAATACCATGCTTCTTCCCCTCCTGAGAAAGCAGAAATGAAGCCAGAGTATTTATCTTTGTGGAGGACAAGGTATATGTCAGAGTATTTGCTCTCCCAATTTTGACATTCACTTTATAGCAGCCTTTTCTAGCTAACCCAAAGAAAGTCTAATTAATAAAATAACTAACAGCCTCAGCCTATTACAAACTTGCATATCTCATTGAAAACAAATTCATTACTTTCTACCTTTCCTGCATAGCTAAACACTCAAGTCTGAAAGTGCACATTTTAACTATTTTAATTGCTTGCTGAGTGGTTTTAAGATGCCCCTATTTACCACTCCCCCTGACTGCATTTTTTTTTAACAAAAGATTTGTTTAGAAGCACTACTTTCCTTTGCCAAGACTGGAATACCTAGCGCCATATGTCTAATTCCATAATCAGGGTGTTCTTGTTATGAGTTTAAACTGGTAAACATCATAGAATTTAGAAGAAGCAAGGTCAGCTTGAAAGCTAACTGGTCAACCAAACATTTTCTAACTTCAAAGAAAATAACCTCTTCTTCTACACATGTACACCCCAAACCCCTCCAAAACCTGTCTCTTTTAGCCAGCAAATCAAAGTGGAAAGGTACTTCAAACATATTCAGCCCAACCACTGCTGTCCTTGTTGGTGGTCTGTCATATGGAATGGTTTTAATACTTGGAAGCAATACCTTAAGTGTCAGAAAACAAGAACATTTTATTTCTGCAAGAAAGCTTTCCAGTACTACTAGTATTCTGGAAAAAAAAAAAAAAAAATCCTTGTATTAGATTAAAAGGTGAATAGCCAAAAGAAATCAGAAAGAAAACTACAAAACTACTTCTTACAGCAAGGTTCAACTTGTATCACAAAGTTAGGGGAAGGACTATTCCTTATATATTTATTTTAAAACTCATTCAAGAATGATAGGAAAGGAGCATTTTTTTTTTCAGTCTCAAATTTCTAATGGCAAATGAAGCCTTTGGCTATTCATCAAAATCTATTTGGTACTAAGTTAGATTTAAATTACATTGACTCAGTAGAATTTTAGAAATGCAGTATGCAACGTGCTGATGCAAGATGTAGCTTGCTGAACAATGCAGGAGCTATAAGAAAATGCTCAACATAAACATTTTTATGTTTCTGCTCTTTGAGAGCCCTCAGAAGTATTTTCTCTGAATGACTGTTTTCCTTCTTCCTTGAAGATAAAGCAGCAAATGTGCCAAAACTATAATGTACCATTCTGTCCAAATGTCACCTCGGTGAATAAAGGTGGAAGTGTCTGTTCAGGCCTTATAAGGTGTTTTCTTCTATAATCATAGATGGGATAAAAAAAAAACGTATTCACTGAATTTTGAAAATATCTAGCCAAAGAATTTCATCTGCATGTTACTCTTAAGTACACACACAGCGACTGAATCTGCAAAGGGGTTAGTGCAATCCTGTACAAAAATGAGAGCACAGCCCTGCCAGACTAAACCAGAACAAAATGTACTGTCTTGCATGTACAACATGAATCCATATGTAATTTTGCTGGGCTAGAACAGAGTACAGTGTGTTCCCATTAATATTTACTCATCTTCCAGTTCAAACTGTAAGCTCGTCTTTTCAGATAGCAAATACTTTTGAATATTTAAGTAACAGCTAGTTCTATTTTACTGAGATTACTTACTAACAAAGGAATGAATGATCCCGATTAAACTGGCTCCCTGCTTGAAAAATATCACACACAACAGCCAAAGAAAACCCCTTTGAAACATTCCTGTGTTTGGAGGATGTAAGGGAACTAATCTTGGATCATGACGATGATGATGCTATATAAAAATAATATTCATCCATCTATCCCAACAAACAGGAAATTTAATTGGCCTGGATGTGAGGAACAGTGCAAGGGAGCAAGGGCACACTTGGGAAGATATGAAAGGATCACTTTTCCTGCAAGAGTCTTGACATCTTGCTAGCTAGCCAAAATAACATGGGTTGTGACCCACCCTCTTCTTCCAACTCCATGACAGTGTCTTAGGATCCTCTCATCCATTTTTTTCTATCCTGCTCCCTTCCACCTATACAGATGGAGGAATGATCTTCACAGTAGATTGGATAAGACTGGTCTCTTGATTTGTTTGGGTTAAGTGCACAAGGTTATTTCCCTTTTCCAATTTTCAAGTCTATTAATGTAACTTAGGATGTCCAGGAATACCGTGACTCTGTAGGGATAGCCACAGGACAATTCTGGCCCTGTGGTCAGGGAAAAGGATGGAATGTATTTCCCACAACACTGCTTCACAGGGGGACAAGATAGAAAGTGCATTGCTAAAACTCTACTAAGGTGTTCAAGATGTTACTGCATCATGTGACAACTTCTGATTCAACTGATATGTTGGATACATGAGGTAACTAAAAATAGACTTTCAATGTACATACATACCTCTCTATTTGTTCACTTGCACATCCTTATCACAACTACCACGTATCAAGCCTGCCCATATCAGTTTACAAAAGTTCAAGAAAATATCTGGTGAAGTATCTTCACCCTCTGGCTTAAGACTTCCTTCCATTCATAGAGTAAATTTCAAACAACAGAGTAGAATGAAACCAAAGAGAAAAATGCCAAGTTTTCTGGCTCAGTTTGACCACATGATAAAAACTGAGTTTTGTATAAACATTTCAGCAAAAGCATAAGTACATTATAACTGCACATTATTACAATCATATGACTGATATCCTGGAAAGTTAAGGAGAATAATCTTTCTGTTTACCAAAGAATTCTTGGTTAACTCACAGGAAGGTAAACTAGAGATACAGCTCAGTTCCCATCTGCATTCCATGTTATTCCTAATTTTTTAAGAAATATTGTTTAAGGATTGAATTTCCTTTGAAAAGAAACTACTCCTAATATAGGTGCTTTTATTTTCTACATTCTGACATTTTAGCACCATTTTCAGTTACAAGAATTCAAACTTAATTTCATACTGCTCATTCAGTGTCTGGGAAGAGCAGGCTTTAAAGCTGAACCACATTTGCGGAAGAACAGAAGCTGACCATATCCCTGATCCAATTCAGATCCCAATGGAATTAATGGAAAACTTTCCATCAGATGGAATTGAGTTTGGAATTGGCTTCTGTATAGACCTATGCCAGTATTTGGGTTTTCATGGAGTTTGGTTTGTAGGGGATTTTCTTTAACATCAGCTACACTAGTCACATAGTCCAAACAGTCTATTCAAAGACTCAGCCTATCCCTCTATTCTATTTATCATCTTCTCTAAAATGTGCCCCATTTAATGGAAATTATGTTGATCACCATCTATTACCTTTATAGCATTTTTCAACTACTGTCATTAAATGCAGCCTGAATTGCAGCTGCATTTCATTGCCCTAAGTTATTGGTTTCCCAGGTGTTTGGTCCGGTGGATATCTTAGATAAGTACCTTTTCTACTGATAACCAAAACTCTAGAATAGCAAAAGTATGAATTACTGTAAACAAACTAAATTTAAATAATTTACAGTAGCACAGCATGCTTTTTATTTTCTGCTTCATTTTGTCTTCCTAAAAAGATACTCAGTGTAAAGCTTTAAACAACTCATCTCAGTTCTCTTCTCTCTTTAGAGTACTGATGAGCAAACTATTTTTCTCAAATTACCTCTTGCAAGGAGACCTTCATTCAAAATAAAGCTGCCAGTCACCTGACAGAACCATAACTTGGGACCACAGGACAAGTTTGGTTCTTCTCTCACTTTTACAGGGATTGTTTCCTAACAAATTCTCTCTTACATTAAGAAATGTACAGTAAGTGTCTATGAATGTAGTTCAGACAGTTTTCATGTGAGGTTCAACTGACTTCTGGAACACATTGTGTTATGAGTAAATTTCCACAGCATGCCACACATTTCCTAGGTCTACTTTAGATCTTTTGCCAAGATTAACAGCATTTCTTTCATGTTGCTTTCTTTACATTTATATCTATATTCCATGTCTAACAATGTTTCTATGGGTCTGGAGAAAGCATTAGGATCTTTAACTTTAAAATACATAATTTGTTGCTTTCTAAACATTCTGCTTCATCCATTATTACACTTTGCATTTGTTTCTTTATAATTCACTCAACCTTCCCTTCTGAAAACTTCATTAACAAATAAAATGTGCTGACTTTTCAGAAACTGGGAAATGCAAGATCTGCCTTCTACTGATTTATCCATGAAATAAAACAATTAAGGATAGGTCAAACAATTCACAGAAAGCACAACCACCTCTAATTCTACTTATTTAACAGAACTAGCTATAAGCATCTGTTAACATATCACTAAAATATTGGGTTTTGTCTCTACTACATCCGGTTAACATTTTTCATAAGTGCAATCACATGCCTTAATTTTAATTTTATGTACTGTGTTCTCATTCAATTTGCTATAAACTTGACACATCTTCTAAAGATAATACACACTTTGTACCTTAATCTGTTCACAGTAATCTATATGGTGGAGTTACACGAATGTGACAGTCTCTGTCATTTTCCCATCTGGCAGACTGACCTGGTCATCGTAACGGTAAGTGAGGAATTGTTCTCCCGTGGTATCCTCAAGGAAACTCCCCTGCGGAGAAAGTGCAAACTCAGGCAAGAAGTATGCACCTTGGGACTGCTCTGCTCTTACCTGGAAGAAATTCAGAAAGGTCACATTACAGCTACTACAAAGACAAGTCAAAATTTTTAAAAACTAAGTATGTAATTACAAACACTACACACAAACTTCTGGGGAGAGAAAAAAAAAGGTTACATACTTTGAGGCACAGTATTTCTGGGTGAATACTTTGTGGTGAAGATATGCCAAATGCTTACAGGGGTCCAAAACCAAACAATATGCCTCAATAGCAGAACTACCATCTCCGGCTTACCAACCATTGCCACTAAAACCCACTGAAAACCACACTGGAAAAGCAACACGAAGCTACACTTCCTTATATGCTTCACTAGACAGTTACTGGAAGCTGCAGGTAACGAATTTTTAGTTAAATACAGCACCTCTATTCTTACAGCCAGATACAAAGACATGGAATCATAGAATAACTCAGCTCAGGAGCCACCTTTAGAGCTCATCTAGTCCAGCATACTCAAAGTGGGATAACCTATGAAACCATACCACAGTGAATTACTTTTCTATCCTGCAGGAAGATACAACTGCAAACAAGTAATCCGAAGGGAGCAGGGAAAGACTGAAGTGACCACCAGACAATGGTCTACATTAGTTCTGCTTGCTATTCAGAATTGCTGAAGAGCATTTGAAAACAGACTGGGAAGGGAAGAAGGGCCCATTTCAAGCTAGAGAGCAGCTAATTCTGTCAGAATCAGATTCAGCACCTCCAGCTGGGCTGACACATGGGCCAACCCATGGGCCCTTACTAGACAAATGACTTTTGCTTAACTGATCCATTCATGTTCAGTAATCATAACACACCTGAACTGTGCTAGACCTGCTGAACACTCACTGGTTAAATATGTTGCCATCTCCTTGTAGGTCTAAAGCATCCCAGATACCGAACAAATGTACTGCACAAATTCGTGGTCTCTTTGCTACTCCACTGTAACTCTACCCTGAAAAACTAAGTGGTTTGCATACTAGAGAAAATAAGAGATCACCTTGTGAATGCAGAATACTGAGTCCATCCAGCAATAGTGGGGGAGAGTGGAAAGGGCAAGGAGATCAAAATTACTTTCCAAAAGGTTAAAATCTTTCAGGGAAGAAAAGAAGGCCTGAAATGTACAACTTACTGCTGGAGATTTCCCAACGACTCAACTTAATAAATGGAGCTTAATTGAACTGTTCCTTGTACTTTGACACATATATAATATTTTCACATGAAAGCTAGTCATTGCCATCTACTAGAGTCCAGATTGCTGGCTAGAACTGTACTAAATATAGGTGCACAATCTCACTGCCAGATAACCAGAGATTTCAAAAATAAATCCTGTAATTTAACCAGTTTGTAGTGGAAAAGGAAGGCAAGACCTTCTGCAGTTTCTTTCTCCCAGCAAGTGCAGTTTCTGAAGCTCCCAGCTTATCTCATAAAAAGCAGGTGACACGTCAATAGCAGTATGGGTCTGGAGAAGCTTACGTTGCTTTTGCTTACTCTGTTCTACAAAGAAGAAGCTGTCAGGTTCTCAGTCTGCAAACCCCAACATTCACAACAGCATCAGATTAACATACTTGGTTTAAATCAAGCCATCTTCATATAAACTAGAAACTGCTTGCAAAGGACACGTCTAGACTAGGGTTAAAGGTCATATTTTAGCATGCAAGACTGAACAAGATTTCAAAGAGGATTTTTTCTTCAGGCCTGCATAAAAGTAATTCACGTTCACATCACATTAATGTGACATTGCTATAAAGCCCATTATAGAAGTGGTCTCACTTGTACACTTTAGCCAACTGACTGATTTTATGCAGAATTAAATAATAAAATATGGAAAATAAATATACATTTGATAACAATAGCTTCCCCATAAAGCAACCAAGAGAGGCCCACCGTTATGCTTCATGCTGAATCCAATCATGCTGCAGCCGATGCAAACCTTGACATTAAATATTAAGCCAGACATGAAACTGGCTGACCTCATCTGGCATTTTCCCCCACTGGTTGCAATGGGCTATCGAGAGATCCTTTGTGAGGGACTATGGCAATGATGTAATCCTATGATTTCAGCACAGGACTAATGGACAAGAGATGTGTTCTAAGTCTTGAGTGGCCTTGACATTTCTACCTTAGTTTCCACAGGTATAAAATTACTACAACATAAACTGATTAATGATGTATTTTAATGTTTCATTTATATTTGTAAAATACTTCGTAATATTGTTAAGTGCTAACAATTTATAATATTTTTGAAAGATCTATCTCATTTACAGACAGAAGAGAATCCAAATTACCCCACCACACTTCTTAGACAAATGTATACATCACACCGTTGTATAATATCCCATAAAAAAATTGTCAGTAGGACATGTAGCAATTAATTAGCTGTGTTTCTCATCTTTATAAGCTAAACATTTAAAATAACAAGTCTTTGGACGTTCATCTGTATTATGTTTTGAATAGAAAAGATGCTGACATTTGAAGCTGAAAATTTAATAAATATGACATGAAAAACTAACGACTTCTCTCACACACTTTCAATTTTCATATTAAAGACTAACAAGCAACTAGCCACTGGAGAAGTAGAAAAATGCTTGCCAGATTAAGGCAAGCAAAATCTGGCTTCCAGGCATGGAAAAATTCAATGTAAAAGATGAATGTTTTACAAGGTTACACAGAAGGTTAAAGTGGAAACTGATCTGCTAACTACAGCAGTATGTACTGCTACCTACCTAGTGTAACTAAAGTAAGGAAGAAAGCAGCAAAGCATTTAATTAAAAATAAAAATCTACTAAGAACACACTGCGTTGTCATGGCAAACTGATGCTGAAGCCAAGTAATCACAGCTGATAAACAACCCAAATCAAGAAGTTAAAAAAAAATAAAATCAGTCTCCAGTGCTGAAAGAACTCTTTTGTATCAACTCAAAGTACCAGGAGAACATTTCTTCTCTCTAGATATAGGTATCTTCAAATGAGTTTCATGTATGCAGTGGACTCCTATTCATACGTTGTACTGAACACAAAACGTACCGTTTCCATTTTGTCCACTTTATTCCCCACTGAGGAACCTACCAATGTTCCTTGCAAGGCTTTTATATTTCCATGGGCACTTTTGCTTAAATGTAATTCAAATTTCAACACCCTGGATTTATAGCATATTTGGGATCATCCCTGAGTGACTTAGCTAATCCAATATAAATTCCTGTTTTAAACTGAAGACTGCAACTGCAAGTTTCAGAAAATTATTACATTTCATACTAGTGTTTTAAGTCTGCTTAATGGTCAAGTTTAATGTTAATAGCTTTAAGTTAAACATGTCAAATTACAAGTAGACTTAAGATTTATAACAGGCATTTAAACCAGCTTTAATGATCCTAAGCATATGAAGACAGCAGAAGCTGGTAATGTAGCCAAACCAGATATAATAATCATCACTGCATAAAATAAATTAAAATTACTATAACAAGTAGCACAGAAGCATATACTGCCATACTTACAAAGAAGAAAAAATAGACACTGGGAACAGATTGATGTTTGAAAATCTCTCTAGGTATTGGTTAACCAGAATATTCCACTTTTTAGTCAGAAACCGAAGGAAATAAAGGTCTTCCATGCTACACCATGCTACCTATGTGATCAAGAACTATCCTGATAAGGAGGTAACACATGTAGGTTCTGGGAAGTGTAAATTAGCTCTATTCTTATTCAAAGGCTTATGCTTTGAGCACAACTTTGATCTTGGGTTGTGATTGCTTTCTCACTCAGCATTTCCCGCACGAGTGCTTAGAGACTAAATAACTCTTCCACTTTCAGTTGCAGAAGACAAAATTAATAGATTACATGCAAGCCACTGATTTTGAGATCTCCCTCCACCAGGAGTTGCATGTTGTCTTTTTTACAGCTACACGATTACATTGGTCTGAATACTGCTCTGACTAGAAGCATCTGCCCAAGTTGAACTTGCTAGATTTGGGGATTTTGTATTTTATTTTATTACTAAAGTAAAAGGGATGATCACCAAGTGTATCTCAGCCAATGCTGACATGAGCAAGCAGCATGGCCAAGTAAGGCTGAATCTGCAGCTAAAAATGGTGTGCAGGACCGAATGCCCCCACAACGTGTATCTGAAGGGATCGGGCTATTTTAAACTAGCTCTAGCCAATCCTGTGGAACGACTACCTCTTAGTGATGGAAGCACAGTAGGTGTGCTGCTGGGGCACATCTTCCGGCTCAAGTTAACCCAAAATAAATCCCTTCAGTACACTCTGAAACCACTGGACAATGCAAACTACTTTAACTGCTCTTTTTTCCTTTGATACCCATTAACTATTGCCATCCAACTCACTTGTAATTATTGAATCACTAAAATACAGAGTTTCCCTATGACTAAAATTACAAATATTAATCATTGGTCATTCTTTCCAAGGTACAGATTAATAATTTCATCCAAGGTTTTAAACTGTTATTGTAATTTCAGATTAATTTAAAACTGTAGTTTAGTCTACAATTCTCAGGGATCATTTGATACAAAGACTATGACAAAGCTCAACAGAACCTCATAATAACACGCCACTATTCTACTTAATCACAGTCACCAGGAGACTGCAAAGTAATTGTTCCATATTTATATATAAACAGCAGCAGCTTTAGAAAGTGAGCTTTCTGCTAAGTCTGAGTTGTGAAGGTCAAGAAGATGAGAAAACCGCGATGGAATGTCTCAAAGAAATTACTTGAATGTAACTAGAAATAAACCACTAATCATTCAGGTACAGAGGAATTTTTAATTTTAGTTTCTTGGCATCAAGAACCACATTAAGAGAAAAAGAAGAACTATTCTCCTATGTACACTTCTTAATGCAAACCAGCATTACGCAAACTTAAACCAGTCATTCCCTAACTAAGCCTCCATGCTTGCTAAAATTGGGAGCATAATGAGAATAAACTTTTTTGTGTATTGAAGATGAAACCTTCAAAATTAGCTATTTTAAATGCCAAAATGCCAAAACACCACACTCTTCCTGAAACTGCTCAATACCTTGTCTTTAAAAAGAGGAACAGACAAAAGGTAAAGGTCCAGTCACCTAAAGCTTTATAGTTAAGCACAAGTGCACTATTCTGCCCAAAGTAAATTCTATAAAGAAAGACCAGCACAGTGAAGGCAATTGGCTTCCCATAGTTTTGTGGTTCTTTTATTAGTTCTGTTGGAAGGAGAAAGTTGAGCACGGTCTTGTGAGTGTTATTTTCAAAAATCACTGTTTTAAGAAAAAGATGTGAAAAGCAGATAAAGTGAAAAAAACTATCTGCATTCTTAATAAGTTATGAATATATGTTTGTCAGATTAATGTGTGGCAAGTCCAATCATACAACTATATGCATGCCTTCTGACTTAATTCAAGTTAAATATCTGTCTACTAACCTGCTCTAGCATATGATTTACACCCCAGGGAAGTAATATACCAGCTAAGTAGCTGTTCAGTTTAATGGATTTTCAAGGACTCTAGTACAAAAACATCAGATGGAGCATAGCACTCCAGCTTCATCACAAGATGAAGTGTGTTAGTAGACAAACAAAGTCACATTAGCAGTTCAGAACTTCAGACATCTCCAGAGCAAGGAATCCTGATGAATAAATACCTAGTAAGACTCAGATGAGCTTTTTGTCATGGCCAAGATTTACAAAAACCACTTCCTAATGTTAGAAGCTCTGAAATATTTAAAGACTCTGCAAGTGAACTGAGTTTCCATGGAAGCTGCCAGCAGCTCAACATTTCTGGAGTCCAGGCCAATTATTTAATTATTAATATTGAACTAAGAGGCCAGCATTTCAAACCGGAACTATAAAAGTAATTTCTTTAAAAAAAAAAAAAAAAAAGAGAAGAAGAAGAAAGAACAAGAAAAGAGTCAGTTGAACTCATGAAAGCCAAGCACTTCCTCATAAAAGGACCCTGAAACACTGAACATGACTGGCAGATTTCATCGGGGAAGTCACAGCTGAAAATGGCAAGACAGCGTGAAAGGCTGAACCAAAAGTTCTTTGAGGGACAGAATTCATGTGACTGAAGGACTGTTCTTCCGTAGTGCATGCCCTGTATTAAAGGTAGGTTTCCAAACTGTTTAAGATCAGATCTAATTACTTTTCCTCTCATCTCTCATTCTAGACCTGTTCTAGAACTTGTAGTAATAAAACAAGCTTGGGAAAATGTGCATGTAATTTGAAGATACATACACAAAGATAAGCAAAAGACAATTCCTAAATATTTTTCATAAGCCATCTATTTACAACATAGTAAAATGCTGTCAGCAAGCAGCTCAGACTGAAAGTTCAGCTTGAATGGTGTCTACTATTGAAAACTGAATTTAAGCTGTAACTACCATCATATTCACAAATGCAAGAAAGCAACTGCCTGCATCCCCTCTGCTGTTCAAACTGAGCCTGTCCTGTGCCCATTCAAGCACCACAAGTCATTTCACTGACTTGAATGTGCTCAAGATGACGTCATAAAAACAATAGTGCTCAGTGTAAACCGTTTTTCATGCCGTATGTTTGTACAGCTTAAAGCCAGCACTGAAACAAAGAAGAATAACAGAGATCGTTTTGGTTTTAAATTAAGAGCCTACCTTTCAGTCTTTTCAGAAAGATATGTTCCCAGTGGTATGAACGGCAAAGTTCCCACCAACATCCTTACGGAACCAGGACTCAAATACATCTGCAGCAGGAAAACATCCCTTGCAATATAACGCTTACTATTAGGACTGTGAATAACACTAGACACTTAATACTGCCTAGCTTTGAATAAATAAGAGCCAAGGTGAAAAATACAGCTCAGACAGGATGACCCTAAAGCAGTTCATTTCCAATTACTGTCAGAAAGGTAGTGACTATGGATCAGATTCTGCTTTCAAAATACGCAGTGCCCAATTATTTCCCTAAGGCTTCAGTTTAGCCCCGTGGGAACGGGCATAACAATATTTAAAGCCAATATAAAAGCAATTTTATAGCATAGAACATACTATAAAATCTGGGTATTACTATTACCACCGAGAGTAGAGTTCCACACAGAGTGTACCAGCCTGTTCTAAAGAACAAGAAAAAAGGCTTGCAAAGATATGGATTCACCATTAGGAAGAGAAGAAATTAAATAACAAAAGTCCCAGTTATTTTAATCCCTGTCCCCCGATTCCCTGCTGCAGTGGTGACACTACTGATATTCCCAGCATAGTGGGACGCCTGCTTCCCATCTCCGTACAGATGCTGGGGAGCTGCATTAAGGATGCCAGCAGCCCCGAGCTGTGTGGAAAGGCTGAGAGAAGCTGGCAGTATGGCAAGGAGGGAATGTGCCTGCTCTGTGGGGGGAAAGGAATTACTTCCTGGACTCCTGTCTCCTGCATGCACAGCTTGACTGCTCCATTGCAATTTTCTCTTTCTTTACTTATGTGTTTTGTATAAAGGTCTTATTCAACAATTTATCTTAAATAAAACACCACCTCGTGATAAAGTGAAATTCTAATATGGGGAAGGAAGATTCTACCTGCACATTCTCTGAGGCTTGGTGCTTTGGGGGCAGAGGGAGTGGCTGAGGCGTGGAGTTGCTTTTGTTTGTTTTTGTTGTTGTTGTTTGTTTGTTTTTTAAATTGCAGCTTTGTTAAAATCCTCTTTATGTACATTCCTCTGTGCCGACAACAGAGAAAGGAAGGAATATCTTCCTAAAAAAAACAGTCTGGAAATGAGACAGAAAATACTATTTCATTAAAATCTCTTTTTAAAGTCTTCCAAGGAAGACAGACAAAGGTGACTGATGCCTTTAATTTTTATTTTTTTTTTTGTCCCTTCTTTCACCACATGTTCCATTATTCCAAACAAACTCCTCTTTTTTATTCTTTATTTAATAACCTAATAAATGGTAAAATTCTTATCACAAATCAAGTCCTTTGAGCATTACTGGAGCACGTTCTCATGAAATTCTACTCATCCCTTACTCACTGACGGTTCCTAAGGGTCCTTATGATCTCCACAGAAAAAAATATGCTACAGAAGTACT